GTTTTTGGCTTTCCCCATATTTCAAAAGTGCTTCATCTCTTTGCTATGACTGTCGCCCGCCATAATTTGCAGATGATAATGGTTGTAGCTGCGATGCTTTCGACCAAAACAGGCGTAGCTTGATGACATCATCAACATGCGCTATCGCGATAGAGCGATATAGTCAAAATCGCTATCGTTGGCCAAATTTATATAGTTTATATCGCCCACCCCTACTACCAGGATGACGAGGTATGTGAGAGTTTCTAAATGTGAAGCCCTATTTAGAGCAGAGTTGTCACGCTCATTTGAGCTTGAGGAATGAAACTGAGCTTTCTCTTTCTTTAACTACACATTTCATCTTAATATAATAATCAGCAGAGTAATTTCAAAAGTGTATTTCAGTTTTTGTACATGATAAAAAATCATTTTGTAGTAAATGAGAGAAATATGTCAGCATGTCTCTTGACTTAAATTGTTAAAAAAAACAACAACCCAAACCTACTGATAAAAATGGAAAAAACAGGAACTTATTAAATGTATGAAAATGCCATTAAATGTTTGGGTGGCCTTCAGTGGGCCAGACTGTAGATTTTACTGGGCTGATTTTGGTCCCTGAGTTAGACGAATTTATCAAAATAAACTTATATGTCCAGTTTTCAAAACAAAAGACTGTAGTTAGATACTGGAAGCAATGAAGATGCTTCAAGGCTGTCAGAATTTCAGAATAAAGGCCCTTAGTTAGTCATAGTAAATTACCACTGGGCTTTAACATGCCAACTTTTCAAAATAAAGCCTTTCTATATTTTTTTTTCAACTTGTGTTTTCAAGAAAGCTTCTCCCTTTTTGCTCATCTGTGCCCACACATGTCAGCAATCTCTTTTTTTAATGCTACTCTGAGGTTTTTATACCGACCCATTAGTGATGTCTTTATTGTCACCACGGATGAATACTTCCTGCTCTGGGGTGACGATGCAGAGGGCGTTCTTCTGGCCCGTCCTGGGCTCTGCATCGAAGATGTCTGTGCACACGTTCACGTTCACCGTCCCCTGTGGCAAAGTGCTGGGCTGCAGGAGAATCAGAACATCCAAATTATTCCTCCAGGGGTCAAAGAGCGAGTTAAGACGTCATGTTTACTAAAACTTCAGATTCGTGGCCGCTAAACAGAAAGCAGTTTGTGGTGTGAAGTGTGGAATGAAAGGGAACGGGATTTAAGGGGATCACAGAGAAACACAGAGGGGGGATGTGTGCATTAAAGGACGGGCTAAGCCCACATCATCTGCTGTGGTTGTGTGCACAACATCTGGCTTAAAGATGCCT